CCGTCCTTGCCAGTTGCCGGGTGCCCGTGGTATCTATCCTGGTGTGCCGGATGGTGTTGCAGTTGGAAGTGAGTCTTGAGTGAGCAATTAACTCTGCCAGCTGCCAGCTCACAGCTGCTGTGGGTGGGGGCGGCCCCTTTCAAAAATAAAAACAACATGCAGAAAAACAGCCCTGGAGTCCCGTTGGCTTCCCTTAGCCAGCGTGGTCAGGGCTTCATTTTGATGCTTTTGTGGAGAAGAATCCCGGGCCTGGATGGGGAAATAGGATGCATTTTGGTCTGGGGAGTGTCTTTATTTGGGGGCAGAGGTGATGGCCTGTGTCTGGCCTCGCCATCCACGAGGCAGGCCCCTTTCCTCAAGCCGCCCACAAGTGGCTGGCTCGTGGATGCCTGCCACAGGGAAGGGGATTTGGGTTCCTCAGGGTTAGTTTTTAGCAGGCTCAGGCGGGGAGAGGGTGGCTGTGGGACCTCTCAGGTCTGTTTCCAGCTCTGTGGGCTGTATGGGGGCCCTGGGGCCATCCTGGAGATCCCCAGAGCTCTCCTCTGCAGCTTCCAGCCAGTTTTCTGGAACTAGGGGGAAAGGAGAGGGGCACCAAAGGTGTTTCTGGGCATGCGATTGCTGCCACTTTGAGGTCGTGGCTTTGGTAGTGGGTTGAGTTGTGGCCCATGAAACGTAGGTCCACTTGGAAACTGTGAATATGACCTTGGCCTTATTTGGACCACAGGTCTTCGCAGATGTAACTAAGGTAAGGGTCTGGAGATGAGGTCATCCTGGAATAGGATGGGCCCTCAATCCAATGACAAGTGTTCTAAGAGAAGACACAGCGGAGAAGGCCACGTGAAGACGGAAGGAACACCAGGGGCCACTGGGAACTGGAAGACACAGAGAAGGCTCCCCCTGCAGAGTCTTTGGAGGGCGTGTGGCCCTGGTGACACCTTGAGCTTGGACTTCTGGCCTCCAGAACTGTGAGAGGATAGGTCACTGGTTTCAGCCACCCAATTTGTAATAATTTGTTATAGCAGCCACAGGAAACGAATGCAGTTGTGAATTTTATTTTAGTCACTCATATATTTAAAAATTAAAATGTAAAATGTGACTTTGTCTTGTTCACTACCATATTTCCAGTGCTCAGCACATACAGTAGGGGCTCAGCAGATGCTTCTAGAATGCCTGATAGCTCCAGGCCTGGGTGAGGAACTCCTACCAGCTGGGAGTTGGATGCGGCTTTCAGGAAGTCGGTAAACTGGGCTGGAGTGGCGTGCATTCAACAACACCATCTTTTAATTTATTTATTTATTTGAGACGGAGCCTCGCTCTGTCGCCCAGGCTGGAGTGCAGTGGCATGATCTTGGCTCACTGCAGCCTCTGCCTCCCGATTCAAGCGATTCTCTTACCTCAGCCTCCTGAGTAGCTGGGATTAGGGGCATGCGCCACCACGCCTGACTGAATTTTGTATTTTTAGTAGAGAAGGGCTTTTGCCGTGTTAGCCAGGCTGGTCTTGGGCTTCTGGCCTCAAGCGATCCACTGCACCCGGCCTATTTATTTTTAATTGAGGTGAACTTCACATCACATATAATTTGCCATTTTAATGTGAACAGTTCATGAGTTTTTAGCACAATCACAGTGTTGTACACCCACCCACTCTATCCAGAAAATGTCCTCATCACCCCTAAAGGAAGTCCGTACCAGTGGGGTCACTCCACGTTGCCGCCTCCCCGCAGCCCCTGGCAGCCACCAGTCTGCCTTCTGCCTCTGTGGACTTACCTATTTTGGGTATTTCTCATGGACGGAATCATACACTGTGGGTTTTGGCTTCTTTCATTCCGCACAATGTGTTTGAGGTTGATCCGTGTTGAATGGTGTCAGTCCTTCATTCCTTTATATGGCGGAATTCCATTGTGTGGCATACATCAATAGAACCATTTGATATCTAGGTGGCTTTTCAGATGAGGAAACTGAGGCTGCCCAGGTCACGGAGCCCTGGTGCCCGGGATTGAGGAGGTGCAGATAGGCAGACGTGTCTGGCTCACGATGCTCTCTCTTTCTCCTGCCCCCACCCTGCTCCACTCGTATCTCTACGCCTGGCCAGGAAGCAGCAGTGCGTGGGGAGGAAGCGAGTGGGGGGTCTCTTCCAGCTGGAGCTGGATGCTGAACTGTAGCTGCGGCTGTGGGTCTGAATCTGGCCCTCAGAGTTCTGGCCCCCACTTCCCCCCTGCGCCCTGCACATGTAGTTCCTGTTGACCTGGGTCCCGAGAGAGGCAGCAGGCAGGAGCTCCCCCATTCGCCAGCCGAGCCTTCTGATGCCTCAAGAGGCTGGGGGCCTTGCCTGGGGCCACTCAGCTTAAGGGCCCCCTGCCCCTTTCCAGACCCCCTTTGGCCCACCGCCCCGGCCCCTGTGGCCCGCGGTGAATCATATTCTGGGGGGTCTTCACTGGTCTTTCCCACGGTCAAAGCTCTGCTCAGCAGACGGGCTCCAGGAAGTGGCCTGTCAGCAGATTTTGGCCAGGGGATGCTTTTCAAAGTATGGAGGGGTGGTCGCCGTTGGAGGCTTGCGTGATAGGGAGTTCTCCTGCTGAGCAGATAACCAAACGCTGGCTTATTCTGAATACGAGCTTGGTTTTGGCCACAGGCTCTGTCTGGGGGTTGCTGCCTGTGGCTGTTTCTGGTGTTTGATGATTTGTGGTCTTCATTAAGTCACTCAACAAACGACTTGCTGCCCAGCATCTGGCGGGGAAGACACGGGAAGCAGAACGAGTGGCCCTGAAGAGACACGGCCCAGTGTCAAACCTGCCCATAGCACACAGTCGCTCTGAGGGGGTGGGAGGAGTTACTGCAGATTCCAGGGCCAGCCTTTGGCAAAGGTCTGGATGCAGGTCTGTGTCCAAAACAAACAAAAACGAACAAAAGGAGGTGGTGAGGCCTGACTCGGCTGCTCTCAGGCACCGCTTCCTGGTGGTGTTTGCATGGGGCCAGTTTGGCCGCTCCTGGGTTTCATGGTTCCGCCTGGTCTCGGCGATGGTCTGGGTGGGAAGACGGTGCTGGATCTTTGGGTTACAAATATGCCCATGCCTTCCTGTGCCTCAGTTTCCCTACCTATAAAAGAAGGCTTAAGAGTAGCAGAATCCCACCTTTGGCTTTGGGGCAGGTCTCTGGAAAACCCCCAGGGTGTTTCCTGGGGAAGTCTGGAGGGCCAGCTGTTCACAGGAGACATCTGGCTTCCAGGGGCCTCCGCAGCCACCACACTCATCCCCTTGTGGCCAGTCTGGGCCCCCCGTCGGTCCAGTGGCCACGGGCCCGTGTCACAGGCAAATCTGGTGCTAAAACACTTCTGTGACTCCTTGTGGCTGAATTACCATGTGGATGACGGAGACAAGCCAGGCTTGCCCAGTTCAAGTCCCAGCTCAGCTACTAGCTGTTGACCTTGGGCAAGTCCCTTACCTTCTCTGGGCCTGCCTCCTGCTCCGTCTGTGTATGGCGGCTCAGGGGCATACCTGCCTTTGCCGCGGTGGTGTGAGGCCAGCTGGTGAACCAGGGGACCCGCTTAGCACAGTGCTGGGCACACAGTCAAAGCTGCTGGGCTCTGTGTGCGTGGCCACTGTTATTGTTATTAATATTATTACTCTCAAGATGCTCCTGAGAGTACAAAGGATGACAGTGTTATTGTTGGAGTCGAAGGCCAGGCCCAGAGTCCATCTGACCACTTCCGCTCCACTCCTATTAGCTCCCTGACCTCATCGTCATACTCTCCCCGCCTCGCCCCTGCACCCTGGCCATGCCAGCCTCTTCTCTGCTTTGACAACACACCGCGCATGGTCCAGCCTCCAGACTTTCACATCTGCCATGCTCCTGCCAGGGGTGCCTTCCCTGTGTCTGCACCCCGGGACCCTTGTCATCATTTGGGCTGCTGTCCAGGGACACATTCTTAGGCCCAACTCTTGGCTGCTAGGGGCAGGGAAGTGAATCTGGAGACCCTCGTGGAGCCTCCTCTGCCTCCTGGGAGCTCCAGCAGCTTCCCCTGGCACCTCGTCTCTGCTTTCCAGAGCGCTTGGAGAAGCAGAGCTCAGCCTGCCCCTTCTACGGATGGAAAGTTGACACCCAGAGAAGCTCAGACTTGTCTCTGAGTCACACAGCTAATTGCAGCCAAGGTTCAGACTCCTGGCTGACTACCAAGCCATCGTTGTTGGCCTGTGTGTGTGTGTATTATTTGGCCATGTCTTCTTTTCTAGGCCTGTCACCGAGATGACCCTAGATCAGAATGCCAGTGTGAGGGGGTCAAGCTTTCTTTTCCTAGGATTAAAAGAAGGACAGAAATATTTGCAAGGGAGAGCCTGCCCCTCTGGCCATCTGGCCCTCAGGACGGAGGACGGGGGAGGGATGGGCCGAGGCCTGGGTTCCGAGCCGGTTCCGAGCCGGTCCCGAGCCAGGCCTCAGCCAGGGCGCCAGAGCCGCGCGCAGGGTGGAGGTGCAGGTGCGGCCCGAGGCTGGACAGTCCAGGCTGGGAGGAAGCGGGTTAAAGGGGGAGAAGCGGGGCTGGAGCTCGCTTTCGCCTGCCAGCGAGCGAAGAGTGAAGAGGTTTTTCTAGCCGAGCTATAAAAAGGCCTCACAGTGTTTCAGCTCCCGAGTGTCGGCTGGAAGCCCGCCAGGGTTACCATGGCAATGAGGAATTATTACTTACTGCCAAGGCTGGGAGAAAAAGCTCGTACTTTTGGCTTCCAAACAAGAGGAGTGGACTTATGTAATTCTCTGTGTTTATAGGCCCGGAGTGGCAGAGGCGAGAACGGACCGCTGGAGGCCCGACGTCTCGTTCGCGTCCCAGCCGTGGGGTCAGGCGGCCCCGCTCTTGTCGCTAGTGGTCCTTGGCCTGCCCGGGTTTGGGGGGCATCGGGCTGGAAGCCTGGGGGGCCTGGCCTGGCCCCGCAGGGCCTCCCGGGCCGGGATGGGAGCTGTAGTCTCGCGGGAAGGTGAGGCCGCCCTCTGGGGCCGCCCCTCTGCGGGTGTCATCCTGGGGGAAGGATGGGTCTGATGTTGGCTGCGGTGTGCCTCCTGGAAGCCGGCAGCACAGCCTGTGTGTGTGGACTCCGCTGGCCCGCTGGCTGGCACTTTTTCTTTTTCTTTTTCTTTTTTTTTTCTTGTGGGAGAGTTACTTCAAGTTGTGTTTGGAGCTGACGTGAGCGAGGTTGGTCATGTGCTCGGGTAAGAGAAGTCGCCAGGCTTGGTGTGCGCAGGGGAGGCACAGTGTGGCCGGGTCACTCTGGCCGGGGGAGGTGGGCACAGACTGGGGTGGAGGGCTGTGGCCTGCAGGCTCTGTGCGGGGGGCGCTAGTTGGGGGCCAAGGAATTCATCTGGAAAGAGCCCCAGTTCTGTCGCTGGAGGTGGTGGCCAGGGCTGGGGGCCGAGTGGCTGCAGGTCAGCCAGCGGGGGCGGCCGGACCCTCCCCTGGCAGCACAGTGTTGTCGGCCCTGAGCTCAGCGGGATGGTGGGCAGGGCTGTCTTATCGGACAAAGTTGCTGCAGGCACAGAAAAGAGCGCTCCGAGGCGCTGGCCCGGCCGGCCGGGGAGAGGCTTCTTGGCCAGCCCGCGTGGGAGGGGACCTGGGGGGGCACCAGGCTCCTCTCCCGGAGCCTCGGTGCACATCCGGTGTCCCTGCCGGGGAGCATGGCGAGCCTTGGGGACTCAGGGGGCTTCTGTTCCGGAGTTGACTTCAGGAGGGTGTGTGATGGTGGGTGCTCCCGAGGCTCTGCCCTGGGGCGCCGGGGTGGGCTCAGGCAGGGGAGAGCCAGGTGCAGGCAGCGCTGCAGCCCGGCCCCGGCGCCCGGCTCCCCACCGAGGTGGCGCTTGGCTCGGTGCCCGTGTCTGGTTTGAAATCAGCGCCACCGGCCCAGGCTTGCCCAGGGACTTGGCAGTGAGCAGCCGGGATAAACACTGGAAAGTTGGAAGGGCTTCCCGAGCTCACAAGGAGCCTTTAGTTGCAAGCTGGGGGAATGAGGGAGCGATTTGTCCCGAGGTCTGGGTGCGCTGCGGCCGCAGGGAGGTGGCGGGAATGGCTCCTGGGGACCTCCGAGCCCAGGCTGGGGAGGGGAGAGGGCTGGGCTTCCAGGCAGTGTTGCTCCTTTGCCACAGACCTGGGTTTGAGTCCTGGTTCCGTCCTTTCTGTGCTGTGTGACCTTGGGCATGTCGCCTCCCCTTTGCAGACCTCAATTTCCTCGTCTGTAAAATGGGGCAACAGTGGGGTCTACACAAGCATGAGACTGACAGGAGAAGGAGCTGCAGTTTTGGGGGGAACTCGGTGCAGACTGCCTGGGTTCCTGTCCTGGTTGGATGCTTCCTGGCTGTGTGACCTTGGGCAAGTAACTTACTGTCTCTGAGCCTCAGTTTTCCCATCTGGCAAATGGATGTTGCATCTTTCCCCACCTCATAGGCTGTATGGCTTAAGGGAGTGAATGAAACCTGCCTTCTGGTTCATAATAGGCTCACAGTCGATAATTCACTGGCGCTGAAGTTGTTTTCTCGATGCTAACAATACACGCACCTGGTCTGGGGGCGGGGGCGGCCCTGGGATTTTGGCATCTCAGGGCGATGGTGTTTATGAAGTTGTAGTGGCCGGATTGAGGTTCCAGTGCCAGCTCGACCCCTCAAGGATGGTGTGACCTTGGGCAAGTCCTGGAATCCCACCGAGCCTCAGTTTCCTTGTCCCTTACCACAGTGGTAGCACTGCAGCCTGCCAGTATGTCTTGGGAGAGCCCGAGAGAAGCCTGAAGGGGTCCGCGCAGTGCTGGCCTGGGTGGGCCTCTGTAATTGTAACCACAAGGTTGGATTTACGTTCGAGTTCCGTCCAGTTTTCTTTTGTTCTCTGCAGAGAGCTCTCCTGTTTTATAGAAACCCGGGCCCAGATAATGGGAGGTAGGCCGGGTGGGTGCTTCCCAGGCTCTGCCTTTGTTTGGGGTCCCCAGGTCTCCCCCCATGCCTGCCTGTTCTGCCCCATCTCCCACTCAGCCTGAGCCCCTCCGTGCCAGCCCTGGGCCAGGCAACCCCCACAGTGGTATGGCCTGGGGCTGGGGCGGGAGGGCTAGTTCTCCTGCGGAAGGTGGCAGCCGTCCTGTGTTTGTAAGTGACACCGGATGCTGGGCCAGTGACTGGCTTAGGGCCTCCGCTCTTGGGCCAGCAGGAGCCAGCGGGAGTTCCCCGGGTGTCCAGGCCCCCCGTGCCAGCTGCCTGTTGTCTCATTGTCGTGGAGCCTCTCCTGGGACCTCAAGAGTGGCCTCTGAAGGGGGGGGTGGTCATACGTGTCCCCTTGTCACCCCCAAGGCCTTGGTGTCCACTTGGGTTGGCCACAGAGCTGTGTTGTGGCTGCCCCTGACCTTTGCCAGAGTCCTCAGGGACTCGATTTTCCTACCCAGTGGAGAAGAGTCCTGGGTAAGGAAGGTTCAGAACAGAAGTCAGCACAGGGCCTTTGTGACGAGGCAGCTCGGCATGGACCGGTTGTGATCACTGGAGTCTGCACGTGTGATAAGAACACATAGAACTAAATACATGCACACTCACACTCACATGCACACACACATGCACATACCCGCACGTATACTCACACGCACACTCGCGAACATGCACACCATACACACACAGTCACACGAACATGCGCACGCATACACACACGCTCGCGAACATGCACACGCATACTCACATGCACACTCACAGTCATACGCACACTCACACTCGCACACACACACCCATACTCTCATGCAGACACCCACACAGATACACGCGCACATGCACACGCACACACACACACAAGTGAGTGCATTGGACACTGCTGCAGATCTGCATATGGCTGGCTGTATCCATGCTGCCTTCCTGGTTATGATACGGATGATGAATTGTCGTTGTCTCAGGATGTTATTCTTGGGGGAGGCTGGGTGAAGGGCACACAGGATCCTGGGATCTTGAGATTTTTTTTTTTTTTCTCCTTTTTTGAAACTGAGTCTCATTCCATCACCCAGTCTGGAGTGCAGTGCAGTGGCGCGATCTCAGCTCACTGCAACCTCTGCCTCCTGGGTTCAAGCGATTCTCCTGTCACAGCCTCCCAAGTTGCTGGGACTATAGGCACATGCGACCAAGCCCAGCTAATATTTGTATTTTTGGTAGAGGACTCCCCCATGAAGCTGGCCTGTAACTGAGCTTGGTCCCTTGGACATCCCAGGGGGTCCAGGCGGGGTTTGCTTTGTGCCTGAGGATCACAGAGGGCTCCAGAGCATCCCAGGCTGGGGGACAGGTGGTGCCTGCAGGGCCTGTGGGGGCCCCAGGACTGAGCTGCTGTAAGGGTGTTCCTGTCATCACAGTGGCGTGGTGGAGGCTTGTGTCCCGTGGGCATCAGTCGTAGCTTAGGGTCTGGAGGGACAGGGGTGGAATAGGGTGTGGGGGCATCTAGCCTCATGAGCCTCTTTGCTGTTCTTTGGGGCCCCTGATCATGAGCCTGCCTCAGGACCTTTGCACTGACTATAACCTCTTTTTTTTGAGACAAAGGCTTACTCTTTCCCCCAGGCTGGACTGCAGAGCTGTGGCCACCTTTCTTTCAGGTTCAAGTGATTCTCCTGCCTCAGCCTCCCGAGTAGCTGGGACTACAGGCATGCACCACCATGCCTGATTTTTATATTTTGAGTAGACACAGGGTTTTGCCATGTTGGCCAGGCTAGTCTTGAACTCCTGACCTCAAGTGATCCACCCACCTCGGCCTCCCAAAGTGCTGGGATTACAGGCCTGTGCCACCACACCCGGCCTGGCTGTAACCTCTTCTGGGAACACCCTTTCCTGAGACCTTCAGCCTCCCTGATTTAGGCCTCTGCTAATGGTGCCTCCTGAGAGAGGCCTGATGTCAGGTTGTGACTCCCTGTGACACCTTCACTGCTCCGTGTAACACCGTCGCCACCGGGTTCTGCTGTCTGCCCGTCACCCCGTCCCCACCTTATTTTAGTCTATTTGGACCGGGTGGCTCACAAGCAAGAGAACTTTACTGCTCACAGTTTTGGAGGCTGGACGCCCGAGACCCAGAGGCTGGCGGATTTGGTGTCACATGGGAGGAGGGCCCGTTCCCTGGTTCATAGGTGGTGGCTTCTCCCAGGCAGAGGGCACGGTGGCTTTCCGGGGGCACCAATGCCACTCGTGACAGCTCGTCACCTCCCAGAGGCCCCGTGCTCTGACACTGTCCCATGATGATTAGGTCTCAACATACAGATTTTGGGGGGACATAGACATTCACACTCCAGCACCCCTCCATCCAGGATTTTGTTCACCTTGGTCACTGCTGTGTCCCCAGCACTGGGTATGTAGCAGGCACTTAGGAGACAGTTGTGCCTGACTCAGTGTCCCCCACGGGGCCTCAGCCTGTCCCCTCCCCATAAATGGGGCCTCTCTGGGGAAGGAGGCCCTGCATTTTGGGGACGATTTGGAAAACCGGGAAAAGTTCTCACGCTTTTTCTCTGACTGCCCCTGGGGTACCCACCAAGCATCCCAAGAGAGCCTACCCCTCCTAGATACGGCCATGAGAAGGAACCCAGGGGTGCCGTAGGCACGGGGAGTGGGGGAGGGGTGCCGACAGCCTCAGCCTTGTGTGCTGAGGACCCAGGCGAGGTGAGCATTCCACATACCTTAGTTCACTGTGTCCTTCCCATAGCCTTGTAAGGTGGGCAGAGTCACCCTCTCCTGATAAGGCACAGAGAGGGTAGGCGGCTTGCTCAAAGACACACAGCTGCAGACCTGCAGTATTACCAAGTGAATGGCATTTCCAAGGCAGTTGCTTCTTTGCTCAGGGTCATGCCTAGCATGCTAAGGGGATCCCCCTCTCTCATCCCCAGAAGTCCCTCATACTATTCCTGTCTTCCGAGGCGGTCCTGTTTTCTGGGCATCTGGCTCAGAACTGGGAGGGTCCCATTTCCTAGGCTGAGAGAATGCCTCATTTAGCCCAGAGCAGAGGCCCAGAGATGCCCACACTTCTGAAGGTTGGGGGGTTGGTTTCCAGTGTGGCTTAGAAGTTAGAGGGCAGGAGGGGCACCCCAGAGTGGAGGAACCGCCCCCTTCCTCCGGAGTCGTTCATTTGCATGACAATGAGCCCTTTGTTCCTGGGGCCAGCCTCCTTCCCAGGGCAGTAACATCATTCCTGGCCTGTGATGTCATAATGGGCCCTTTCTGTGGCTGGGGTCAGAGGCTGGGTGGGCAGCTGTGTGGGTCGGGCCAGGCCTGCTAATAACCAGGGAGGTGGTGATTGCCAGGGACCCATGTGCCAAGCTGTCTCCTTCCAGGGTCTCGTTGAATCCTCCCGAGAGAGCAGCGGGAGGTGGGATTTGCTCCCCTGTTGACAATGGAGCAAGCTGAGGCTCCAGGAAGCCCTCCCTGGCCCCACCGTTTGTCTGGTCCCCCCTGATGAGTTGCTTCAAGCCTCTCATTGGCCTGTGGAGTGGGGGTGACTCACTGCCAGCTTGGCCCTTAGCTGAGAGGCGTGGGCGTGAGAGTCCCTTGTTTCCTGTAAACGGGAGGGAGGCCCATGCCCAGCGGCTACTGTGTTGGGGCCACTCGGAAAGCCAGGTTCAAACCTTGTCCCCACTTTGTCCCCTGGGCATCAGCTGAACTCCCCGTGCCTCCGTTTCCTCCTCTGCTTCATGGGGTTCCGCTGGGGCTTGGACTCAGAGCTAGGCAGGGAGTGAGGTTTCAGGAAAAGGGCAATGTCAGAGAAGGCGGGGGCTGGTGGAGTGGGGTGAGTGGTGATCCCCCCAGAAGTAGGTCCATGTCCTGGTAACCCAGCCCCTGTCAAAGAGAGACCGTATTTGATAAAAGGGTCTGTGCAGATGTGTTCTGAGATGAGCTTATCCTGGGTTACCCAGGTGGGCCCTGAATCCAAAGACCGGTGTCCTTAGAAGAGACAGAAGAGGCGACAGCAAGACTACCGGAGCTACAAGAAGACGAAGGCAGAGATTGGAGGGCTGAAGCCACAAGCCAAGGAATGCCTGGAGCCACCAGCATCTGGAAGAGGCAGGAAGGAGCCTCCCTTTGAGCTTCTGGAGGGAGTGGGGTCCTGCTGACGCCTTGATTTTGGACTTCTGGCCTCCAGAACTGTTAGAAAATACATTGCTGTTGGTTGATGGCTCACACCTGCAGTCCCAGCACTTTGGGAGGCCAAGGTGGGCGCATCACTTGAGCCCAGGATTTCAAGATCAGCCTGGGCAACATGGCGAGACCCTGTCTACAAAAAAGCACAAAAATGAGCCGGACATGGTGGCAGCATGGCTGTAGTCCCACGCTGAGGCAGGAGGATCAATTGAGCCTGGGAGGTCAAGGCTACAGCGAGCCATGATTGTGCCACTGCACTCCAGCCTGGACCACAGAGTGAGACCCTGTCAAAAAATAATAAAAAAAAAAAATAAATAAATCAGTGTTGTTTTAAGCCTCCTGGTTTGAGGTCATTTTTATGGCAGCCCTGGGAAGTGAACACAGCTGGCGACGCCAGTCTCTGGAGGTGGGGGACCTGGCCCTGGCGGGGGTTGGTACTGTTCCCCACTCCAAGCCTGAGGGTGCAGGACAAGTTTGGGTGGCCGAGAACCCCCTTGTGCTTGGGAGCGCAGGAAGCCCCATCCAGGGAGTCCGGACTTTCCAGGAAGCAGGCCTTGCTTGAACCTGCCTTTCTTGCCGAGAACCAAATCCACAGGGCCCTAGACCCCACCTGCCACCTGCTGTTCGAAGTCCCCTCAGACAGCCTTGCTAAGGGGACAGGACCCAGAGGCAGGAGGCTCTCAGGTTCTACCCTGGCTTCGCCCCAGGCCCCGGACACTCTTCACACACATCTAGTGACTCCTGCAGAACCTGGGTTGCACTCATTCCCCAGCAAGCCCCGGGTTTGCCAGGTGCCCTTGACAAATGGAGAAACTAGGCCCAGAGAGGGCAGGCTACTTGGCGGAGGCCACACAATTCCTTAGTGGCAGTGACGGCCTTATAGTCTCACCACGGGGGCTGGCACTGGGGCTGGCACTGGGGCTTCCAGGAGTGGGGATCAGAGTTCTTGGCCACATGGAGACCTGGAGTGGAGCCGGCCGGCTGTGTGGACTTAGGGTCAGTTACCTGATATTTGGGACACTTGGCTGCCTTTGATGGACCTGGCCCGGTATAGGTGGCACCCCGAAATCTGGGCTTTAAGCACACCCCGTCTGTGCTCTCGGCCTCAGTCTCTCTGTTTGCAAACTGGTCTTTGCGCTTCAGCGCCACGTCTGTGATTTTGCTCTTAGGATGTTCATGCATTCAGCAAGCATTTATTGAGCGCCTGCCGTGTGCAGTGTGCTGGGACTCTGGGGGACACAAAGGTATGACTCTTGCTTCATGGATCTTGTGTTCGGGGTTGTGGGGGGAGAGGAAGTGAAGCAGCAAGGGTTGGAGTCCAGATTCCGGGTTCTGATGAGGGAGGTCACGGAGCTGAGGCTGTGCGGGAGGTGAGGATGTGGCCTTTCTTCTCCTCTTGGGCCCAGGGTGGACGGTGTGCAGCAGACTCTCAAGTGGACATGGAGATGCCCACAGCCTGTCTGCGCGACCCATGGGCACCTCTGGCTGGCAGGACCTGGCCTGGTCTCGTGAGCAGGGATATGGGACGGGAGGTCTGCAAGGCCTGGCTCCAGCCTGGTGGGAGAGACTACAGTCTCCTCCAGGCTGAGCAAGAGGCGTGGGTATGCCAGTGACAGCGTCCCAGGACACAGTGGGTGAGCCGGACACAGGAGGTGGCTCGCCTGGGTTTGCATCCAACCTGTGCCCTTGCTGGCTGTGTGACCTTGGGCAAGTTGCTCAGCCTCTCTGTGCAACAGTCTCTCCAGCTGTAGAATGGGAATGGTAACAGAATCCCTCACAGGGTCGCTGTGATGGAAGGAGCTGGTGCCACCAAGTGCTGTGTTGGGGACTGGCTGCACCAGTGGCTGTGAGGCGTCCCCTCCCGTGGCTGGTCAGGGCGGTAGCCTGGAAGATGGAAGTGGCGTTTGCTCATCTTCCCGCTGACCTGCTTCTGCCTGTGCAAAGAGCCTCAGTCTTCTGCCTGGGAAATGGGAGCTGTAACAAGCACATGGCCCCATGGAGGTCGGGAGGAGAAGTGGAGCTGGGGTGCATCAGTGCCTGTGGGGTGGGGGCTTGGGGTCGCCACCTGCTCCAGTGGGTCGCCACCTGCTCCAGATTGAAGCCTTGGCCGCCCCCGAGGCCTGGAGCAGCCACTTGTTTTACAACCCAGGAAACTGAAGGCCCAGCACAGATGGCCCCAAGACATGCCCATGGGTACAGCCCATGTGGTGGCTCCTGGCTGCAGACAATGCCTCTTTTTTCTGGCCTGGCGGGAGCAGTCCGGGCTTGCTCAACCTGGCCTAGGTTTATCAGCACATTTGGTTCTGCGTGCGGCTAGCAGGCATTCCCTCCGAGAGAGACCGTGATGTTCCTCCGGAAACCGAGGTCCGGAGGCTCAGGTTACTGTGGGGGACGGCCGTCGGCGGGTGCGCCTGCCTCTGAGAAGTGACCCAGATCAGAGCTGGGCTGTGCTGGGCAGCGTTTATCTGCAAAGCTGCCGCTCTTTCACCCGCGAGAGCCACTGACCGCTCAGGAAGGGACTGGGAGCCGCCCACTCTCCCTTCAGGGTGACACAGGACAGCCTCTCCCAGGCTCCTGCCTGGCCCTTGCCCCTACACTGAGTCTGACCCGGGTCCCCCATTCCATTTCTCTGGCCTCCTGTTGGCTGGCTTTGGACCTGTCCTCACCTACATGGATGAGAGACCTAGTGGGTGGAAGAGATCTGATTCCAGGGAGATCCTGTCTGAGAGTCTGTGTTTCAGGAGGGTTGCTATCTTAGGTCTCTTGGTTGCAATGGACAGACTCCCTCTGCCTCCTGCATTTAGCACAAATAGTTCAAGTAACTAAAAAACCTCAGGGAAGCTTCAGGCACAGTTGGATCCAGGTGCTTCCCACTTTCAGTCCCTGATAGCCTGAGACTAATAATTGCAGTTCAGTAGCCCCAGTGGAAGGACAGCTTCTTGTTCCCAATATTCGAGCAAATACCGTGGGAATGAGTTTTATTGCCTCAGCTTGAGAGTTCAGAGTTAAGCCCCACCCCGTCCCCACCAAAGCCAGTGCCACTTTGGCTGGAGGGCAGGGTCAGCCTCCCTGAGACCCCAGGACTGAGGGTGCAGGGGGGGTGGTTGCCCAGGGAAATTGGGGTGTGGTGCGCACGGAGTGGGGCCGGGTGGGCAGACACTGTGTCTGGCTGCCTGTGTTGGAGATGGGGCCAGGTCAGGGTCCCTGCCTGGCCCAGCCTTTCATGGCCAGTTTGTGTCCCATTGGGGTGGAGGAGGTGGTGCCAATGAGTCACTGGGTAAGTTTCATTCCCGTTATATTTAATAGTTGGGGGCCTCTTGGGTCCCCCCTCCAAGCCGTTGATGGAGCTCTGCCTCCTGTCCTCCCATCACCCCACTTCAGCTCCCCAGCCTTCCCTCTCCTCTCTCGTGGCTTCCAGTGACCACGTCATAAGCCACAGGTCACGTCCTGGCAGCCCCTGGGCTGTATTTGGGTGTCAGACTGATTTATTGGGTTGGTTTTATAGTCAGTGTTTTTTTAGAAATATTGGGAGATGTCTCAAAATTGGGCTTCTTGGCTTTGCTGGAAAGATTTGGACGCTGTGGACCCCCTGTGTTCCAGCAGGGTCTGGAACATCAGGAATGTTTGGGGGCCACATTCCTGAGCCTCTGCTCAGCGTTGGCTGGGACTGAGCTGCGGTCACCCCCTTCCTGCGGGCCCCTCCCCTTGGCGCAGTGCCTGCCTGGGCCCCTGTGTTCTGGCAGGGTCTTGGGTATCTACAGCTCTCCTCTTGCTTTTTGTCCCTGCCCTTCTTCGGGTGGATCATCCGATCCCAGGTAGGCGCTTAGCTTCAGCCGTCGCCACTCCTGGGCGCTGAAGCATTTGTTTACTGTCTGAGTTCCTGGCTGCAGGGGCCATAGGACCTTTTGGGTTCTTGATCACTGTCCCGTCATCAGACATTTATTGATCAGCGCCCCTGGGGTAATTGAATGGCCCAGAATGCGTCCACTTCTGAGCATTGGACCGAGCTGATGTAAAGTGGAT